AGCAACAAAATACCAACTAGCTACAAAAAAAAATAACTCAGCTCAAATTTAGCATGGGCTCCAAGGTTGTCTCAGTCTGTTGGGGTTCCTCTTTGGAATTCATGCACAGGATTTGACCTCTTCATGCTATGTCTTCACTGCCCATATAAAAAGTGTAAAACACAGAAGAAAGAACCTATCAGTGTCAACATACTGCCTGTAACATTTCTGGGACGTTTAGAGAATGTAATTATTATCATTTGGCATGCATTGACATTTAATTTTTTTTCTTTCTGCTGTTGCTCTCACTCTATCCTCTCCTGGATCTTCACCCTGTTCATACATTTCTTGAAAGCTCAGGTCACTAAACGACTACTTCACATGATGCTGCCGGTTATATGATAGCTCTTCGGTTTGTGGATCATTTTGTACACTGTACATACATCTAGTGCACATGCAATACTTATACATGCAGTACGTCCTGGGCCAGTCTCAGAACATTGGCAGCAGCGTCTGTCAACTCGGCATCCAATTTAGCAACTACTGACAAGCCTATCGTCCAAATGGCAGGAGTAACCAGATCCATGAGTTTCAGCCTGCATTCAGCTGGCGGCCATCTTTATTTCACTCCATATTGCATAAGACGATGGAGTTACATGCGTCACATGATGTAAAGAAGGGGTGTCAGCACTGCAGTATTGCAAAACATTGAACTCACCCAATTCAGCTCCCCAGCTAATCGCACAGACTGTTGTTAGTTTTATTCAGCATGTTATGAGAGGGGAATATCTCTCCAGGACCTGAATATGAAATACCTGAAACCTCTGAAAGTAACAGGAGTTGTACAAAAGTACAGACGTCATCAAGCAAAGCCTTATAAAACAGACTTGACATAAAAACCCTTCCACTCTTTTATAACACAGTTGTATGTACACTGCATGTCTCTGCATGAATATGAAGGCATTTTGGTTTTGGGAGCCTTGTCCATTGAAACTGGAGCTTTCCCCCCACCTTGTGCTCACAGTGCTATGTTTAGTTGCAAGGTTGTCAGTTTCCTCATGCCAGCTTGCCAGATTGAATTGCATTGACTCAGCTCAGGGTCTGTCCACCCATCGAACCATCGACCCTTCCAGTGACCTTTGGCCGTGGAATTCAGAGTGACTAGAGTGGCAGGACAGTAGTCATGTAGACAGTGCAATGACCGAAGTTACCTGCATCTGACTGATCTTCAGGAGGCCAACCAACAGAGTAATGGCTCTGTCTCATGCTCATGTGTGGACTACAGAGACTGATATAAAATAATAACGTTATGGAGAATCCTGTCCTTTCCATGCTCAACCCACCAATGCATTCTTTCCTAGCAATTGGATAAACTTTACAAAACATTCACAAAAATCTGATTTGATCTAATGAGAAAGTGAGCGACTTTGTATTTACTTTGTATTTGAGTTGCTTTGCAAAGTTTCCTGTTTAAAACACTACTATGCTACTGAGCTGGACTGTGTTGTGTAGATAAACCAGAGAGACAGAGAGAGTTCACTGTTTGGAAAATGAATGGGAAACCTGGTGACGTTCAATGTCGTGTCTGTTTATGAAGAAGGTGCCACTCTTCAATGAAATGCGCAAGCGCCGAAGCTAGAACATGCTGAAAAAAACATGCTCTTTGTGTGTTTTTTGTGTGTCAAAAAACAAAATATTATTTGGAATGATTAAAGATTTATAACGTGCTATCAATTCCTGTATTTTTACAAATAACCGAGTTGTATACTACAGTTTCCCAAAGGTTGACTGGGATTGTTGACAATGTTCTGTACAGCTTGGCCAGATAAAAATGGCAACAAATCAGCAAGTAGCAACAAACTAGCAGCTAGCAATGAACTAAAAACTCAAATTTTATCCAAATGCTGTCAAATTTTTGTCCATATGCAAATATAGAGGGGGTTTTTAATTTGAAATTATATTTATCTTGTATACATGTAAACAGTCACACTGTTAGTTTTTTGAAGAAAGTAGCGATACTGGAAACACTGTGACTGTCTGTAGTGACTCTACAAATAAAGTTCACTATTGTCTCTTAATTTCTCCTTAGGTTGAGTGAGCATTTTTGCTGTATAGCTTGTCCAACTTGGTACAAAAGAACGTTCACAGCCATGTAAAATGACGCTACGCTATGCTCCGCCATGCTGGCTACTTTGTGTTTAAAGATCATATTTATAGGTGCTAAGGTGTCACATGTGTTTCCCTTGTATATATGCCTCTGATTACGTGTGCTGCACACAGACTGTACAGTCATGCTATGGGCCACACATTCAGCGCATACACTGTACACTCACTTGATCTCTGGTGAAGGTGGCCACCATGTACACTAACAGCTGTGTGTTGCAGTCACCTGGCACAGAGAGGCTTGACGCAGATGCATTGATTGCATTCTGCATGCTTAACACCTCTCCCTCCTCCCATCCACTCACACATAGGCCTCATTGCCTCCAGTGCGCTATGGAAAATAATGGCTCTTCCCCCAGCTATTCTGTCTTCTCCTACATGAAACGTAATACTGAAGTTAGTTAGATGTAACATCACCTAAACCAGAAAAGCTGGTGTGCTCTCAATGCACTTAAGCCCACTGGCAATTAGTCACCACAGTTTTATACCCTTCTTTTCTCTTTTACAAAAGTCTAGTCAACTTTTTAAAGAGTCATACACAAGAGAATTATAATGTACAAAGGAGTTGTTCAGTACTCTGCAAAAGTTCGCTTATTTAATTTCCAGTCAAAACACCCATTAGATACAACTTATTCATTTTTCAGCATCAGAAAAAGCATGAAATATACACAACCTTTCATACCCATAGTGTTGAGTTGTCTTCTCACAGTGGACGGATGGACAGAAGATTGTTTCAGATCTAAAGTAAGAGTGAAGCTTGATTTTTTCCTCTCTCTCAGAGATGAAAGCTTTAAATACTGTTTATCTGATGGTGACAGTTTTGGTGGTCTGTCTAGGACATAGGAGTCCTATTTCCTCCATTTCTTTTAATAACTTTTTAATAGTTTTGGAATTTCTTGTTTTTCCACTTATTTCCCTTTGAGTTGAACTATCTAACTCCTCAGAAATATTGCCTAAAATGGATAACTTGCATTTAATGACTGTTTTTAACTGACATTAAATAAATTAAGGGTAGTCTTTGACTTTACTGTAGTAAAATCCAACATGACAGCATAAATTCAACTGATAAAATGATAACAAAACAACCTCTTTGTGTTTAATCCTTGATTGTTTAGCCACTGTGCCATTTTGCCTATTGTCTGCAGAATTGCCATTTCAGAAATGGAGTGATCCTTCACTATGGATTGTGTTGTACGTGTATCAATGTAGGCCGCATCCGAATGTGGGAGAGAGCTGGTGGCTCTTTTAGCTGCGACTCCCCTCTGTGGGAGGTTTTGCCCTCTCTGGAGCTGCGCTGGTCCGTCCCCCAGCCAGGCTGCCTTATATGGCATGAGTCTGCCTCCCACAGCCCCCTGCCTAGCAGCTGAACCATCAATCAGCCCTGCCTCGTATATCTGCCTGGCTACAGTTGCTGCTCTGCCAACACCTTCTCCCTCTGAGCACTCACGCATACACATATAAAGAGCTTCAGTGCAGCCAAACCCTTCAACATGCGCTATTCACTCTTCTTATTCTCTGAAAAAGTCCTCTCTCTCTCTCTATCTCTCTCTCTCTCTTCTCACTCCTGACCCCTGTTGCCTTTTGTCAAACTGCAAAATGCCCAGCAAGATTTAGACTCTTACAGCCAAGTGTAAGCTGCAAATCTCCACTTGCCTGCCTGTAAAAACATCAGTGTTGATGTTAGCAGCCGTGTGTCCTGACTGGTGTAGCTGCGGCTTGTCAAGCTAAGCAAGTCTGACGGGGCCAGACTAATGCCACTTATTTTACTCATCCAGAGAAACCTCACCCCTCCCTGCCCTTCCTAAGCCGCTTTGTTGAAAATGTGCCAGAGAGACGTCATTGAAAGGCTCCTCCCCCATCGTCTACCAACACACAGCAAAACACACAGCCCACTTTGTTCTGTCACCAGACTGTTAGCAGTGACAGACAGAAACAGAACGTGGAAATGTAGGCCTCTGCATTTATGGCAGAAAAATAAAACACCTATCTCACAGATAATGAGAAAATGAGCCTGATTACTCATTTAGTACATTACACATATTCTAGGAGCCCTTTTGTTAAAACTACTCTTGTTGTTTTAACTCAAAAGGTATGTAATCTATCACAGATTGTAACAATGTGATTCACTAGAGTGATATAAATGAGACAAGTAAATCTTAAAAAGTTAACGTCTCTGAATGAAATAGAAATCATAAACTGACAAAACTCTAATTTATTTATTACAGTGCGCAAAGTCTCAAATCCTATTATATATGGTTTTCATGGTTTTAACATATTTTAAAATTAATTTATATAAAAGTTGAATTGTGATTTTTCATGTAAATCGCTCATTCAAATGTAGTCAGCTATATGTAGAAACTTCTATTATGTAGAGATTGTAATTAATTAAAACTCACTACAATTAACTCACATGGAAAAAATACATGGACATGTTTTTTATGGGTAAGATACATTTGATAAATATACTTTGCATGTGTTTCTTTTCCTCTTAGGAAGTCAGTAATATTAAAAGTCGCATTGTTTTGTAGTGAATAATAATAAAATATTTCATAGAACTCAATAAAATATAGACAGCTTTATTGAATACTACATCATTTATAGGTTTTAGTAAATAATTGATAGAATATTAATGAAAGCCATAAAAGGTCAGTCATGTCATGCATCTAATTATAGTTTTTAATTAATAAATAGTATTTTATTTTAAGTATTTTTAAAAATCTTAAAGATTTTAAATAATAATTGTTATAATATATATATTAATCCACTGTAAGATGGAGTTGATGTGTGTTGAAGGTGTGGAGTGGGCGGAGCTTCTGCACTCGTCCATCACGGCGCTGTGCATGCTGGTCAGGACCAGATCAGGTGAGAGAGTGAGAGACTGAGTGAGTGGTAGTGAGAGAGGCAGGAGCAGGTCAATGATGACCACACCTGTTTACACCAACATACTTACACCGTTTCATCCCCGACACGCCTGGAGGAGGTGGAGATGTGAGGACTGCGCCGGAGAGCTGTAGTTCGGTTTGAGCGCCGTGTTGTTCGGTTGTCTCTCGGGACTCGTCGCCATCACTAACTCAGTGTGTTCGGCAGGTAACTCGATATCCACCTCGCTCTGTGAACACGAGCTTCGTTTACAGGTTAAAGTCTTTCACTTTGTCTCTCTGCAGTGTGTCTGTGGGTTTTAGTCTGTCTGTAGCTCGTCTCTGTCTCAGCTCACTGTGTCAGACTCGGAGGGAGCAGCTAGTCTGAGCGTTTGTTATTATCAGAGTGCCTTTAATCTGGGTTTAGGTGACTGTCTAGTGCTGTTCACGGCTGAACTAGGGTTGGGTGAACGTGCCTTTCGATTTAGTCATTGTTATGGCCGATAAGTTTACTCTGCTTTTTGTCTTGTTTTGTAGTTTTATTGAAATGGGAGATTTTAAGCTGCTGCACTGAGAGATGGTCATTTGACCTCCCATAGGTCAGGAGAGGGTCTAATGGCTACCAGTTGTGTTTGTAGAGCAGACAGAGCAAAGATGACTGATGTATTCATACATGCCTTACTCTTGTATTTTAGATATTTTAGTATTTGAAAAGTTCAAATGTAAGCATGGAGACAGAATGATGGATTAAAGTCTAGGCAACAAAGACTAATTGTCTACTATTCATTAGTTTATTACACACCAATTACAATTATTAATTAAATAGCTCATTTATTATTATCTCTATTGTGTCTGTTTAGGCCATGTCTTGTTCTGTTTGAATCAAAATATAGAAGTTTTACTTTTAATATGGCTGCTGTAACTTAAAAGTCCAAAATTTTATTCCATGCTTCTGTAACTTAAGAGTGGCAGCCAGTTTGCACTGTAGTCCATGTAGTTACTGACTAGTAAGCCTTGGGTGTAGTAAGCCTGTGATTTTAAGGGGTTATATTTCTCAGAACGTTAGTTCCAGAAACACTATCTTAGGAAAAGGCAGGTACATATACAGGGTTTTATTGAGACATTAAACATGAGCTTTAAGGAACTGCATCAAAACACCTAAACAACACCATGAAAAACTGGTTCAATACACTGTCAAATGTGTTTAGAATCCTGTAGCTTCCCCTGAGGTCCATTTATTACATTTGTGTGGTTTTATGTACTGAAAACAGTCCTCTTTAATTTTTACATGACCAACATCTTTATCACTTAGAATTGAACTGTTTAGTTGCTGTGCCTTTAAGCCTGATACATGTAAATAAGCTCTGTTCTGATTGGCTGTTCTCTGTTATGCTTGGTGAAAAGCAGTTCAAGCTGAACTTTAACTGCAGCTTGAATAGACGGGCTAAACTGCCGTAGGCTGATATATGAACATGTGCTGGTTTTCATGACATCATGAAAACGGTGAAAACCGTACAGGTTTCTACAGCATAGTTTCTATATATATTGTTGCTGTCCAAAGAAAACCATGTATCTCCGTTTTTGCTGATTTTTATTTTTCTACATCATTTCAGCACACCAGTTGTCCTTTATGGTGTGTAAAAATTTCATGATGATTGGACAAGTAGAAATGCTCCAAAATCACTTAGAGTAAAACCTGTACATTAACATTAACTTACATTTAAAGTTAAGAGCGTTATTACATTAACTGTACATTAACTTACATTAAAAGTTAAGAGCGTTTTTAACCTCTCCTGTAAACTTAGTATTTTGGAGGTACTTGCTTTTCTTTGGACAGCAATGATATATACTGTATAGACTGGAGAGTAAACAGTATGTTTTGAAACATTAACAGTGTTTACTGTTTCTACATGAAGCTATTTCCAAAAAAGTGAGAAATTTCAGTTTTCCATGATTCAGGCCATTTAATGGTTTTTGAAGTGTGAGGTGTTTACCCATCTACAAATGCTATAAAGCTTTATTCATTTTAGTGGCCCTTTCCCACCACCTATCCCCTGTTCTGTGGGGATATTTAAACAGTATATTTACAAAAGGCCGTCTCTGTAAAGACCTTTCTGAAGATGAAGTGTAAGTGGAGACCATGGGGCCTCGTTAGACCTTTGTAATTGAAGGCTCAGTTGGGACGCTTTGGAATTAGATTCTTTTCTGGCTCTTCCAGTCTCCTTTTTCATGGTTGTTTAGCAAGCTGACAAAATAAATAGTGAAAGCAATTTCAGAAGCAATGCCATCCTAATGGATGGATGGATGTTGTTATTGTTTACAGCGGTGTCACTACTCGTACCTAGACAGGGGCCCTATATCCTACAATTTTTTTTTTTGTTTTATCTTTTCCCTTGGGGTCCCCTTATAACATTTGTGTTATGTACCAAATGGTCAGAATTCATTTTAACATTGATCATTTTTGATCATCATGTTCACTTTATACTTAAGAATTAATAAGGATGTTTTTATTACTGTGCCTTTAAGACTGATTTATGTAAATAAGGTCTGTTCTGATTGGCTGTCCTGTGTTGTGCCTCGTTCAAAAATCATTCAGAGCTGAAACACTCTTTAGAACCTCAGTGTGAGTGGGAGGAGCTAAACTGCTGTGGGCTGAATATACATATATATATATATATATACATATATATATATATATATATATATATATATATAAATTATACAGGACAGCCATCTCATACACGCACACACACGTGTATATATATATATATATGCACACATGTATATGTAAAAGTATATATGTGTTCTTTACAGAAACAATGAATTTTCATGATGCTGCATTGTTTCCATATATGGACTATATGGACTGGGTAGTGAATGGCATGTTTTGAAACTTTGACAATGTTAACATGTTACTTCAGACTCTTTTATTTCAGAAAGGTTAGGGAAGTTTGTTTTTCTGTAACATGGGCCCTTTAATAATTTGATGCTCATTTTTTGCTGTTTTTTTTGCTATATATTTGTTTCATTTGTTGGCATTTGTTTTAAATAGGCATATCATAATGATAATATTTGCACAATGAATATTTGCATTGTGCACTATTTGAGCTTGTATGTGTGTGTGTGTGTATATATATATACATGTATACACCATCTTCACAAAGCCTTATTGGTCATTAACCCATACTTTAGTCCTTTTGTCTAGTAGGCTTCTGTCACTCAGCATTTAGTAAAACATCAGCTGTTGCTGGTCTGCTCTTTGTTGGGTTAGGAAAGAACTTAGCAGAAACTCTTCTTTTCATATTGTCTTTTATTCAACACTGAATAAGTGTCATTTCACGCTCTTATGTTTTTCATAGATGACTCAACTGCCAACTCATTTTTAAGATTTAAGACTTTTTCATTTTTATTATTCACAAATTTATTAAAAGAAAAAAATACTGTTATTCTAGTGTAGCTAAGTTCCCTAGTCTTATATACTTGTTATTGAATTCTGTATTTCCATGAGGGCTGGCTTTGCATTCTTTATGTGTCTTGTTGCAGACCGAGGAGCACATTCATTATGTTGTGGTTAAGAGATTAGGACTGTTCCCTGTGTACTTTCAGTGTCAGCTTTTACCTGTGCTTTCCTTCCTCGTCTCCATTATGATGATGTATCAACAGTCAGTCTACCACAGTGCTCCCTGTGGCATAAGATCATACTTCACATAACACCTTAAAGCTTAACCCCTTAATCTATAGGCTTATTATGCCTTATTTACTTTTAAGACTTGTTCCATCAACTGTTCAGTAACTACTATTAAATTAATACATTAACATTTAAAGGTTTTCTTTTTTCAATAATTTAAACAAGATACAACTCTGTTTCTAAAAAAATTGGGACGCTGTGCAAAATGTAAATAAAAACAATATGCAATGATGTGCAAATCATTTAAACCCTATATTTAATTGAAAATAGTACAAAGACAACATAGAAAAAGTTGAAAGTGAGAAATTGTATTGTTTTTTGAAAAATATATGTCCATTTTGAACTTGATGCCAGCAACACTTCTCAAAAAACTTGGGATGGAGGCAACGAAAGTATGGAAGCATATCAGTATCAAAATTAAAATAAAAAATGTAACATGCAAAATGGCAAAGTTTGAATTTAAATTTTCATTTATATGTGAAAGTTTGAGCTCAGGATGAAAATTCAAATTGTAATTCACATTTGCCATTTGGTCCACTAGTATTGACATTTCATTTATACAGAGATTTATATGCTTTATGAGAAACTTTATTTAAAGTTAAATGTATTTCCATAACTGCATATTCATGCCTTATTATGCGATAATGATGTAAAAATGATGATTAAAATATAATTTAATTGCATTAATTGCATCTCTATAATAATGTTTTGGAAATTGCATTTTTAAAGAAAATGCCATGCTAGAAAGGGAAACAGCGCCATACTGCACTCATTCTGTGTCAAAATGTAGTTAAAAATGCATTCGACCAGATTGCATTTTCCTTTTTTACAGTTTTCAGAACCCGTCAATCATCCCATCAGGGCAGGGCCAACAGCACACACCACGGAAGGTTTTATCTGGACCATCTCTGGGCCCAAGCTCATTTAAAATGGACTAAGGTGAAGTGAAAGTGTCCTGTGGTCCGGCAAATCAAAATTTTAAATTATTTTTGGAAATCATGGACACTGTGTCCTCCAGGAGGAGAGGTACCGTCCGACTTATCCTGATGGTATAGGAGTTCATTATTGCAAATGGAAATGGGTGACTTGCACATCTGTGAAGGCACCATTAATGCTGAAGGATATGTACAGGTTTTGGAGCAACATATGACACCATACAATGTCTTTTTCAGGGAAGGCCTTGTTATTTCAGCAAGACAAGGCCAAACCACATTCTGCATGTATTACAACAGCGTGGCTTCATAGTAAAAGAGTCCGGGTGCTAAACTGGCCTGCCTGCAGTCCAGACCTATCACCACTGAAAACATTTGCCACATTATGAAATGAAAAATATGACAAAGGAGACCCGGAACTGTCGAAATCAAATATGAAGCAAGAATAGGGAAAAATTCCACAACTACAGCAATTGGTCTCCTCAGTTCTTTACAGAGTGTTGTTAAAAGAAGACGTGATGCAACACAGTAGTAAACATGCCCCTGTCTGAACTTTTTTGGACCGTGTTGTTGGCATCAAATTCAAAATGGGCATATATTTTTCAAAAAACAATAAAGTTTCTCAGTTTCAGCATTTGATATGTTGTCTTTGTATATCGGGTTTAAATTGTTTTGAACATATTGCATTCTGTTTTTTTTTTTTAATACAATTTGCACAGTGTCCAAACCTTTTTGGAAACGGGGTTGTACATGTTGAACATACATTTACAAAATTTACAAAAGGATTCCATAATATTTTGCAAAATGTTGAGAATGACGTTATAATAAAATTAACATCCAGAATGTTTTTACAAGAGGAATGATGGTCTTGAAACAGATAACTTACCAAGGGTTGACTATATATAGATAATTACTGTGTATTATATACTTTTTATGTTCCCGAAACACATATAAAAATTTTATAGAACATCTTAAAATACCTTCTGGTGTCTAGCTGATAATACTTCAGTCTAGAGCTGAAAGATTAATCTTTTTTATATCAAAATTGCAAATTGAAAGAATGCAGTTTTCAAATTGCAAGAGCTACATTTTTAATCATAGCCATCATTATCTACAATGTTCTCAGCTTTAAGCGGAAAAATTCTGCTTGTATATGTGTTTGTGTAATCAAAAGCAAGCAAACACCCAATACAACTATGCCTGTCACCATAATGAAATTTAGGTGACAGTTAAGTTCCATAAAAATAATAGTAATTAACAATTGATCTGTTTTGCTTATTGGATGTAACTATTAAATTACAAGACTGACCTGGCCAGATTGGCTGATTAGCAATTTTTAGCCAACCGTTGATACTTTTAGTAGCTCCCAACTGATGACAGAAGCACCTCAAATAAACAAACATTACTCTCCACTGCAATCTAATGGTGATATAGCACCAGTCAGAAGTTGTTTTCATAGGACTTAATAAGTGTGTTTTCTGCTTTCTTTTATTTACATGTATTTTCCTCAACACAATGGATGAAAACACACCCAATTCATGTTCTGTTTGTTATGATGTAAATGGTCATGATATGATTGTAAAAGCTAACAACTGTGGAAAATAGTTGTGGTCAGATAGAATAATTGCAAACAGCCCAAATAATACTGATCATGCGGTTATGCAATAATTGTGACAGGCCTAAATACAACCAGATCTACTTGGCAGTAACTGCCAACATTCAAACCCCAAGCCAAAAAAAGTGGATATGCTGGAGTATATCCATGATGTTGGTCTGAAAAAGTCATAATGTTGAAAAAAGAGCAATATTGATTCGAAAGAATTGCACTCAGATATTTGCCCAAATCATTCAGCCCTGCTTCAGTCTACACTGTGCAGCTTTTTACTGTATAAAATAAAAGTAATTATTAATATGACTCATGATTCCAAACTTTGGAATAGTAGTGGGCCCTTATGGTTAAAGGGGTTAATTGATGTGAAGCACTGAGTGGTAGATGTCTGTTTCCTTCGCAGGGCTGAGGGCTGTAGGAGCTATGCTGTCAGCAGAGGAGATATTATGCAGCACTCGGCAGGTGATCGCAGGGCTGGAGGCTCTGCGGGCAGAGAATCGCACGCTGCTGGACAGCCTGCAGGAACAGCTACAGAGCCGGCCGGCAAGTGAGAGCGGCAGCTTGGAGCAGGAGAAGACTGGTATCGTCTTACAGTCTCTGGAGAAGATCGAGCTGGGCCTGGGTGAGGCACAGGTGAGTTTCATGAGAAATTAAAAATTTCTATAACACTAAAATAATTGTTCCACAAATGTTGTAGATCAGCCAATACATGTTAGGTATCTAAAGTTTGCTTCTTTAGTTTTGGAGCTTTGAGGCTTATGTAGCTAACAAGTAAAGACAGCATATACTCACCAATTAGCATCATGAAATCTGCGTGTCTAAATTATACACTTGTTACACACTTGCCTCAAACCATGTTTTCTTGTTAAGTAGGTTTAAATAGACATGTTTATGTGGCTCTGAGATGTCACTAGCATTCTGGGATTTTCCATACTTTAGTCCCATTTTAATGTCTAAACAGTCTAAACATGAATGTAAGCTTATAGCCACCAATTAGCATCATGCAAACTGTGTGCCTACATTGTCACGCATTTGCTTTAAACCGAGTTGTTAAGTTCCCTCAAACAGATATCCTTAAGCATGACCCACTCTGTTCTATAAAATGGGTCAAAATGCAGACAAATTTCAGGCTAACAATTTGTTGTGGTGTCAGAAACAATATAAGCATCCATTTGAGATAACAGCTCAACATTGTTTGAGCCAAATTTGAGATGATTTAGGCATGTTGTTTACATGATGCTAATTGGTGAATATAAGCTTCCTTTACTTGTTAGCTAGATAGTCCAAAATTAAAGAAGCAAATTTTGGAATCAGAAATGTTTTGGCTGATTGACTACATATGTGGTAAAGGGAAAAAACGTGTAAATTCAATTTGTGGTCAAACCATTACTTTAAGGAAAAAGACCATATTTTCTGTTGCCTCCTAAACCCAGATGATGATGGCTCTCTCAGCACACCTGGGCTCACTGGAGGCGGAGAAGCAGAAGCTGCGTGCTCAGGTACGGCGGCTTTGCCAGGAGAACCAGTGGCTGCGGGATGAGCTGTCTGCGGCCCAGCAGAAGCTGCAGGAGAGAGAACAGGAAGTGGTTACACTGGAGGAGCAAAATAAACACCTACAGTTTATGAGCAGTATCCGCAAGTACGACCAGGACGAGCCACCAGTGGTGAGCATTAGTACTGAAATGCCCAACACAAACATACCATGATGGGAAAAGTCCAGTGTTTGCAGTTATAGTGAGACATTATAGTGTTTAAATGGTTTTGAATGGGCATTCTTTTGGGTTCTAGAAGTTAATTATTTCTAGTTTTTGGTTTAAGGCCAGAGAACACAGACTGGACAAACAGAAACATTCTAATGTTTGTAGTTGTCTTTAGAATGTTTGGAAAAAGAGCTTAAAAAACAAATGAACCAGAGTGAATGAGAACATTTTAGAATCGTTCAACAAACATGGGTATAGCACATTAACCAAACTTTTGTTTGTGCGTGTCCAGCTGGTACTCTGGTCTATGTGGAATTGAATAGAATGGAATAGCGTTCGTTTGATTGTCTGAAGACTTGTGTAAGAACACAGGATGGTCATTTTCTGTATTTTGAACAGGAGGACAAAGACAACTCCTCAGCCAAGGAGTCCCTCGATGATCTCTTTCCTACTGATGAAGAGGAGCAAACACAAAGCAAGTTTCTCTCAGAATCTGCATGCTCTGTACTGCACAATAATACAGTATTGTGATTATACTGTTATATATTGCGATTACAGTATACCTTGGAATATATTAAAATTTATATGTGACTCAGTAATGGGACATGTTTAAAGATTTTGGCCAAAATTATTTAATGTTACGTGGAGTACTTTGAACACCCACAGAAACACTCATCTGGAACTATTATTAGTCACGATGCTCAAACAGTGACAAACTTTGTGATTATTTAGAGGTCTCATTTGCATATTGTGGCTATCTGCGATATCAGCATTGCTAATACCAATATCGTAGAATTTATTAACAAATTATATATTGCGCTGCCCTACTCTGTACTGTAGGTCAGAGGCCTTGTTCACTGTGAAAAGGCACTTTCCACCACCATAATCGCATGCTCTCCATGGTTGGATAGGTTTGAAAACGTTGTCATCCTGTGATTGGCCCTTGATTGTCACATGATCCCAGCTCGCATCCCTCCAGAATGGAGGATGAGTTAATTTAAATGTTGTTGTCAGTGCTATGTCGTGACTACTCTTTTAGAGCTGAACATAGCTGGGTAGTGTACAACATGCACGTGGCGTTCTTGTGTGCAAGACAAGGCACATTGTATTCACTATTGTGTGACAGACCTCTGTGTGCTCAATGCCTTAACTGACTTGGTTTTGTTGTTAGCCATCTCTGCTGATGTGCAGCACAAGAAACAGTTTGGCAGAAATTGTGTAATTGTGTGTGTCAGACAATATCTGCATACCAATATAGCCATTTTCTGTCATATCTTCCTACAGTGTGGACAACTTTCTGAAAACATTATAAAAATGGGAAACTGTTGATTTTGAATGTATCCATATTAGTTTGAAAAAGGCCTGAGTCTGTTATCCTTATTTGTGTTTTCTTAGACTCAGTTATACACTTATTTTTTTACCCTTAGATTACTTTTGCCCCCCCAAATGTTTTGAAGCTGCTTCATTACATTTTCTCAGTAGCATTGACCATTTTGTCTTCACAGTGTCTCAGCCCCACAGCAGTGGTGTCGCTGCAGCCCAGCAGGGAGGCTATGAGATCCCTGCCAGGCTAAGAACGCTCCACAACCTGGTGATCCAGTACGCCTCTCAGGGCCGCTATGAGGTGGCTGTGCCTCTCTGCAAGCAAGCTCTGGAGGACCTGGAGAAATCTTCTGGACATACCCACCCAGACGTAGCCACCATGCTCAACATCTTGGCACTAGTATACAGGTAGTTAAAAGACTGTAAAACGAGTGTCTTTAGTACCTAGACTTTGCTCTTATCTCATCTGTCACTCCATTTAATATTGGATTTTTGTTATTTTTACTCTACACAGGGACCAGAACAAATACAAAGAAGCTGCCAGCCTCCTGAATGATGCACTGGCAATACGTGAGAAGACACTTGGCATGGACCACCCTGCAGTATGTTTTTTTCTGTTCATCACACTGTTTTTAGTGAGTGTTTTTAGAAAATATGATTGGCAGCATCAGAGTTGTATTTGTCTTAATGTACATTTGTACAGGTGGCAGCTACTCTCAATAACCTGGCTGTACTCTATGGCAAAAGAGGGAAGTACAAAGAGGCAGAGCCCCTTTGCAAGAGAGCACTGGAGATCAGGGAAAAGGTACGGTAGTCATAAATTATTAATTTATAAAGCTGTTAATGCATTGTCTTTGTTTGACTATTCACACCATCTGGGTTCCACACTAAAGCCCAGCTGCGCACCTGCTGTTTATTGCTTTAACTCATTGACTGTATTCCTGTCACTCAAACAGTTTCTAAATGGCAACTTCCATTGACGTCTCTCTTAACAAAATCAAAGTTATGTCCAGCTACTGATATGCCATGAATTTGTTTATCTCCGATGAATATAGTCTGAAGTGTCATTTACAAGCAAAACACAAAGGTGATGTGGCAATATCAGTAATTTAGTAGACTGTGCTCAACAGTACATGGGAGCCAAGGATAAATCAACAGTTGGCTAATTAACAAAAGCAACAGCAAAGTGGAAAGCTCCAGTTCCCGTCAAAACAGAAAACAAGACGTACGAATCAGTATGAGAGCAAGAGCCTACAATCACGGAGGAGCTGGAACGATTGGCTGTATATATGACACAGATGTATGCAAAAGCTTGAAGCCCCCGGTCAAATTGATTTTCTAAGTTAAAACATAAGTGAAAATGTAATTTAACACATCCTCAATAGAGAATAAACTTAAATTTCATTGCACATTTTAATGCAGAATTTCTGTTTATTTGACTTGAACATATTGCAAAAAACATTACATCACAACATTTGTACAGGCCACATTTTATATTTATTTTTCCTATTAGGTTAAATTCAGCAAATGAACAGTAATTGTGCATTAAAGTGTGCAGAAGTGTGTTCTCTGTAGAGGATGTGTTAACTTATATTCACAAAACACAATTTGACCAGGGGTGCCCAAACTTTTGCAGATAACTGTATATATGATATATACAATCATTGGTTGGATACAGTCTTTCTGTATGCTGGTCATAAAAATTGGAAACTATGTTCATTCTGTGGAAATCACATGATCTTCACTTTCAGGTTTATGTGAACAGTGTTCTCACAATGAAAATAAAGTAACTGAATTAATGAAAGTAATAAATACAGTCTGAGGAAGCTCATTTTGTCCACTCATGCAGCTATAATAAAGGGTAAAATTTGGGCAAGTAAGACAAATGCAAGTAATTCCTGTTGACCGACACAAAAGGATACAGTTAATTGTGATTATTTTAATCGTTTGACAGCCCTAATAAAAATGATTTTAGACAGTTAGAATTGATTATAATAACATTCAATAAAGTGTGTTCTGTTTTTAAATGTAAAAAGCCGTTGTGTATTGCTTTGTCTATATTCCTTCACGTTGTGTACTCATTGTTCTCATTTGTATAAAACAATCAAATCCAGTTTTACTCAATGCAACCAAAAGATAATCCCTGCCCTTTTTTCTGCAGGTGCTGGGGACTGACCACCCTGATGTGGCCAAGCAGCTCAATAACCTGGCTCTGCTGTGCCAGAACCAGGGCAAATATCAAGAGGTGGAGGAGTACTATGAGAGAGCGCTGCACATTTACCAGAGTCGGCTGGGTCCAGATGACGCCAATGTGGCCAAAACCAAAAATAACCTGGTGAGAGATGACCTTTTGTTTTCTGGTTATGGTATTTTATTTGGGGCTGTTTGTCACATGCATAATTTTGAACTACAAAGGCTTGGAGGTTGGGGTGTGTCTGTGAGGTAGGTGTTCACAGAATATGCTGTGTGTGTTTGATTAACAGGCCTCTTGCTACCTCAAGCAGGGGAAGTACAGACAAGCTGAAGCTCTGTATAAAGAGATCTTGACTCGTGCTCATGAGAAGGAGTTTGGATCAGTGGAAGGTAAACTCCCATCAGCTCTTTAAGATCTCAACACAGCAAAACTATTATTCTTCAGATTACACACATAGGCACTGGCGCTAAATCAGAGGAGTTCTTTGAAATTGCCCAAGATCATTTTGTCCAGTTATTGAAAAAAGTACTTTGACTTGTTCCATAAAATCTGCCGCACCAGTGACATCACATTGTCATTGCTCGCTAAAACAGACTGGTGATGAGTGGATACAGGTACCATGCGCATGCTCAGTTTTGGTTAAAAAAGTCCCTGACAGTGTAAATCAGAGTTTAACCAAGTGGGATGTCCTAACTTCACTACCTTTAAGTTGGATCAGCGTTTGCATTGGAGCATTAGCTTCTGAACAAATATCTGCCATCTGAAGCAGACCCTTCAGTTACCTTACACAAATACGTATGTCATATTGCTTTGTTCAGAATGGCTGACTTGCAAAAGAGTTGGCAGTTTTTATTTGTAATTATTCCTAAACCAACTAAAACTCTAGTTAAATACAAAAACAGAATGTCATTTCATCTAGTTATAATCAGTTACAGCAAAGAGAAAGAAGTACTAACCTGCCCCACCTGTATGTTACAAATGCACTTTTCATTTTCTATACTGTCTTTATTTGTTGATTTAGGCCATAACAGTTAGCAATGGTCCTTCTTATGTCTGCTTAATTATCATCACACCTATCACTTTTGAGGCATTGCGCAAAAATATTTATAGCAACATTCAAATCTAAGATTTTCAGTGACACAACAGAAAGAACAAACTGCCATTGCAATAGGAAATAAAATTCAGTCTCTACACTGAATGTGTCTGAAAATACATGACATTATTATTCCAGTTAATAAAATTTTTGTGTTATAGACATAAAAAAGCGTTAGTCATCATGACAACCTCATGTTACCTCTAACTATAGGTTGATTTAGTTTTACGTTTACATTGCTGTATATTGACCATCACGTCCTGATGTTGGTTTTACAATTTGTCAGACCAAATCTGCACCCCTGTATGTAGGAGACATGAGGCAGTCTGTCAATTACAAACTGCATGGTGTGTGCAGTGACCAAAATCAATTCAGAAATTTTGTTTGTATCACATCAGCTCTATTTATCGTCCTAGCTGTCCTGCACTCCCTCTCTCTCTGACTTTCAGGAGATGGACGGCCAGTTTGGGTACACACTGACGAGGGGAGCTCTAGACAAGTATGTAAACACTGAAAGTAATTTCTGCAGCTCTTCTAGAGCGCAGGAATTAAACCATGTCTTCTCTCTGTGGCTGTAGGACAGTCTCGGTAGTCTCAAGCGCAGTGGATCTTTCACAAAGCTTCGGGAGTCCATAAGGCGGAGCAGCGAGAAGCTGGTTAGGAAGCTGAAAGGGGTCGGAACACCAGAAACGGCCCCTCGCGCTCCTGGGTAATTGTATCTACCGTTAAACTGATCTGTAGGTTTTACTGGGTCATGGCGTATATTCATTATGTGCAAGTTTTAGAGGTGGGACACTGAGGGAGGGGTTATGAGGAAAGTAGCCCTGTTGTCTCTGGAGGAGGTACCCTAAGTCTGAACTAAGCAGTCTATTTTGCCAGCTCATGATGTTTTCTTTGCAACAGAATGAAAAGGGCCAATTCCCTCAATGTGTTGAATGTGGGAGTGAGGGAGAGTCAAGAGACTGCAAAGGTAAGAACTGAGCTTTCTGCTATTAGGGCTTTCACTTTCTTTCACTATAAAAAGGACATGTCCTTACGCCCATCACAAATATTACATGATCACCTGATCAGTTATTTGACCTCACAGCTTTTATTTTCCACAGTTAGCTCTCACAGCCATGTGCTTTTGCTGCAACAAGCAGAATATGACTTGAGTATGTTTTCATCACTTGGGTTGAGTTTACTGAGACACGTCAAGGGTCTTACAAGAACAGACTTTCTGACTGACTAATACCTTTAGAGGGTAGCAATGAGTGTTTGTTTATTTGAGCTTGAGCTGTGTCTGACATCAGTTTGGGGCTACTAAGTATCAACAGTCTAGAAGGCAAGATAGCTAATTAGCCATTTTAGGTTTTACTTTAACAGTTACATAAAATTAACAAAAAAAGACAAATTGTTAAATACTATTATTTGTATGGCAATTAATTGTCAGCTAAAATACATGAAGAGGTAACTCACAAGTTTCATGTTACGTTCACTTTCCATGATTAATTTATGACCGTGTTGTTGATAATAAGGGCACAATTAAAATGGCAACTCCAGCAATTTGAAAACTGCACTCTTTAGCCACTTTGGGCCTGTACTTTAATAGTTAATAATATGCAATGAATAAAAAAATACAATGTTAATTGCACTGATGTCCATTAATCGTCAGCTAAAATTTCATATTAGTGACAGGCCTAAACATCCTCATTAATAGTGCTCTAATCTTTGTTGTTTGCTTTCTTTGGTTTATTATTTAGTGATAAAATGTATGTAACAAGTCTCCTGTTGTCCATATGTCAGTTTAGTTTGTTTTGTTGACAGCCTAAAAAAACAGGCACAGTGATTTGAAATTTTCCTAAATGTGTTTTTTCCTTCCAGAATCTTAACAGGCTGACAGATAGTCGCACTCTCAGTTCCAGCACACAGAGTCTGGCCCGACGCAGCTCTTTAAGTGGAGAGGGTTAACCTTGCCTACCAGTTTTCCCTGCACTGCATAAATGCTCCTGGTCCAGTCTTCATATGGACCCTTTAAAAGCAATGAAGCGACACACTTCTTTTTTTTTTTACTTTTTTGGTGGGTTTGGTTTGTGGACCAGCTTGCACTGCAGAAATCTAAGGGAACTTTTCACAAAGATCTCCCTTTTTAGAGCTAATGGAGCATACTGGGACCACACTTCAGGAACCAGTTTTCTCTTTCTGATCTTAAGGGCTGTTGCACTATAAAATCTTAACTTAGCCCACTAGGATCTGAAATTTCCTTTGCACTTAAAATGTTACAGGTTAGCATTAGAACGGAGAGTACACTGTTGCACTAGTTACTATATTTCTATATAGAGGGCACCAATGACAAATGTTTGTTATCTATGTTACTTTAAAACTGAAATGTAGCTCTCTACTTGTGCCTGTGAAAGAAGGGACTTGATTTTTCAATTTCGTACGCAGATTTTAATTTAGTTTGGTGATATAGTGTAGTTTATTTAATTTTGTTTTATTCCTCCTTATCCTGAAAGTCAGGATGTGATTTTCTATGTTGTGTGTGAAATGCCAGAAAGATCTAGAAATACTACCTAAATGTAATGTATAATGCAAGGCTACTTTGTTAGCTTTCTGTCAGAAGGTACAAACAGAGTACCTAAACAACAAGATGGTTTTACAATCTACAGTTGAATCTATTAATGAAATTGTTTAATGTATAGCCTCAGTGCAGTAATGCTGAAGAACCAAATAAAACTGCTCTGTCTGTCTTTCACAATAGTCTACAGAGTGGATTAAAAGTTAAAAGGCCTCAGAGTTCACCTCATCAAACCCAACAAATAGTATGGTTTTACACCCTCTTCAGAGGAACATGTCCCTTGTATTTTTCCCCTTTATGCAAGAGGATGAAATGGCTGCATGCTACTATCCAAACAACTCAGTGCAGTAACATAACAGAAGGAAAGAAATGTTCTTAAGATCAGTTTTGTTACCTAAAAAATGAAAATTTACATTTGAAACCTCCTGTTGGTCATTTTAGCATGAAATATTCAGGTTTTTATATGACACATAGGCTAATGTGTCTTACTAATAGCTGACAAAAGGGGTTTATGCATTACAATCAACACTTGTTTTATAGAAATAATCAGTATTTATTCCTGCCTTTGTGTTGGAAGATGAACATACAGTATCAAACTATTTAAAAAAAAAGATATGTACAGACATGTAAGTTCAGATGATGAGCATGTTACATCTCCACAAGAAGCATTAGACCTGCTGAGCAATTTGAGAGATTTTCTGCAGCATTTCTTCTGACTGTAGCTGTTCCAGGGTCAGCAAGGATAGACCCAACTGATCCTCCTGCAAAGCAGACAAAGACACTGTAAGAAAATGGCAGTGAAGTTTGAAGGACCACAAAAAAATAGCATTCAAATGACTCCATCCCACCAAATGTTGACAAACTTTTTTTTTTTAACCCTGATATATTTAAGTAATGGCTTGTGCTGGCCTTATAGCTGCACTAAGCGTCCTTACCCGTCTGAACGGTTGGGCCATCTGCCTCAGGAAGTGCTTGGACAGCTGCACTGTCTCATCGATGGTCAGGTTCAGGCTGCCATCTGTGATGTGCTCCTGGATCCAACGGGGCAGCTTTCCTCGCTTGTCTGCTCGGGCGTAACGCTAAGAGGAAGAACCAGGGTGATTAAATATCTGATACAATGCACCTAACCTACATCAACCAGACCAGATCAGAGTAATCCAGAGCTAACCAGTTTACCTTGTCTGCAAAGATCATAAGGCCGTAGTCAGTTTTGCCTCGGATGGCTCTGCCTACACACTGGGCCGCATGTCGCATGGCATCAAAGGTCAGAAAGTCGTTCTCACGGATCTGAAACTGGTCTCGGAGATACTCCAGTCGAGCCTGATGCAGACAGGAAAAGAGTGAGTGTATTAATTGATGGTATATCCAGTTTATAGTACAAAAAAAGTTATACAAATATAGTAGAAATTACGACAACAGAGAATGACTGGGCAGACCTTGAGGATTCGGCTCTGGGTATACACGTAAGGCACTCCAAACATAATCACAGCTCGGCCAAAGTGATGAACTGTGAGTCAATCAGATGCAAAATTTGATTAGCTTCGTCTTCTTATGTATAAAGAACTGTACATCAAATCTTTAAAATTCTCTGTCAGTTAAACTCATTATTAGATGGCACAATACCACTTTTTTTCCCAATACTTCCACAGATAATGAAATCTTGAGTATAAAGCTCAAAGATATACTAATGTGATATTTGTTTCTTTAAAAGTTACTTTAAATTGACCTATTTTTAATTAAAACAACTGATTATGGATTGCTGCCATCTCTGCAAGTCATCAAACAGAAACGCAAACAGTATATGTTTTTCAGTACGCTTACCAAAGTCAATCCCCTCAGACACTTTGCCTCTGGCCACAGACAACAAGATGGCCCCTCTGCCATTTTCGCAGGCCTGGAACAACAGGTCAACAGTAAAAGGTCTTTAATTTATTGCAACACAGTCTTTGAAGTACCATAGCTTTACTAATAAATACTGTTGTATCTCCTCTAACATTACTTCAGTCATGGGCTGGAGGTTAGGGAACCAGCCCTGTGACCAGAAGGTTGCTGGTTCGATCCCCTGAGCCGATAGTATGACTGAAGTGCCCTTGAGCAAGGCACCTAACCCCCAACTGCTGCCCACTGTTCCAGGCAAGTGTGCTCACTGCCCCCTAGTGTGTGTGCATTTACTAGTGTGTATGTGGTGTTTCACAGCACGGATGGGTCAAATACAGAGGTGAAATTTCCCCGTTGTGGGGCTAATAAGGGTCATTTGATCTTAATTACTAAATGGCAACAGGATTTAAAGACGGAATTCAAGAAGGCCTTCTCACCTCCTGGTACTTCTCCAGAGCCATGCTGGTCTCTGCTGCATCTTGAGTCTCGATGAAGATGAGCTTGTTCCTCTGGATATTTTCTAGAATTCCCTACAGACCCCATAGCCAGAGAATAAAACGGAGACTTATTACAGTTTCTCAAAACGCACATTTTCTAATCAACACTCCAATAAAATAAAATCATTTTTTACTTCCATACCTGCTCATACCATGAAGCTACAATGTTTTCCATGTAAACATAGCTTGTGAAAAATGCGACAATCCCATCAGGTACAATGGCAGACATTTCCAGAAGCAGGTTCCCGTAGTTTCGGATCACAGCTGTGGATTGCAGTGCATACATCTCTTTAAATTATCAGACTCCTTAAAAACACAAATATTCTATAACAGTGGTATCAATACAGCTTAAATCGTATAATAAACCACAATACAGCTTACCAAAATCTTCCCTGGTCTCAAATTTTGAGCTCATTGCCACTTGGTCATTCCCTCGCCCAACAATCTAAAAAAAATGTGTAATGTTCAGCTATAGGACTTAGTACTTCACTGAAGTTTGAAGCGAAATGTGATGAATGTTCTACAGAACACTTACCAAGGGGCAAAGGCAGGTTCGTGCCAGTGTCATGGTGAAGGAGGCCATTGTGACAGGGCGAAAGTCCAGGATTCGGGGATAGATGTCCAGTGGGGAGAGAGTCTATGAAGAGAAACAATGCAGCACCATATCAAACACAAGTCTAGGACATTAATTTACAGATATCAGATCTGAGTTTCCTGATAATTAACAGGCTTGTACAGTATGATTTGATAATAGTTGATAACTACAAGTCATATAAGTAGTCAATTATTTCTAGTATAGTTGTGACTAACATTCAGGCAACAAAATATTTTGGATTCTCCAACATGATTTATTTACGAGAACATAAATCTGGACAAGGAAAATATAGGATTATGGCAAATTAATTATATGCAGATGGGTTAAACTGTGTTTAACTCGTTTATTAGAGAGACTGTCCACCACAGATGGCGTGAGACACTCAGAGAGTGGATTATAATCTCAGATTAGAAAACAAGCCATACGTAATCTAATAATCAAATGCATGAAGGAGGGTGCTGAGAGAAGAGGTTGTTATGGAGAAGGCTGTTTACCCCTGAGGTGATGATGACCGACTGAAACCTCTCAAACACCGGTTTTATGGCGATGGAGGGGTCCATACAGCTGCAGAACAAACAGATAAGCCAGTCAGAACCAGAGAAAACTATTTTTAACTGGCATTACCCTTCACTGAGCACTGATGCACATCAAGTCTTGCATCCACTGTCTTTCATTCATTTTTCAGAAGAACTTCAGAATTACAAGTCATTTTTACCAACCTGAAGTGAAGGACTGGATTCGCTATTGTTGGTGTTTTGTCTTCAAAAGGCTCAATAATAATAGTGAAGCCTGAAAAAGAGAATTTTTTATGTATGTATTTTACATGCAAACAAGCTGAAGACTGCCAATAAATACACTTGGTGTTTGTGGTGGAATCAGAAGAGATCACCGCTTCTTTACCTTTGCTGTAGGTGCTGACGAGAGTAGCAAAGTTGGAGATCAGAGTAACGGCAGAAAAGTCAGCGATGTCTGCAATCTCCAGAGTTCTCAGCAATGAGCGAAGCCTCTCAGCACAGAATCTATGGGGAACAATAAGCAGAGCTCAGCTCATATACAGCTCATATACGATGGAGCACGCTTAAATTACAACACAGAAACAACCCATCAAAAATATTTGTGTGATCTAGCACTTTATTAATTCACTATTTGATTCAAAACAATACAGTGTTGTCTTAATTCAATACATTTCTCGATACAGCAAAATCGAGAAATGGCTGAAAATGAGCCTTACATTAATGTGTTAATGTTACATTTTCAACTGATTAGAGCTTTAAACAACATACAAGTACAACATACAAGTACAAAGGCTAACATGTAATTTTTCATGCTAATCATGGAAAAAACTATACATTATCGTTATAATAAACTGCGATATATTTCAATATGTTGAAATATTGTAAAATATTGTACATATTGTTACTGCCCTACAAATAATGTGTCAACATTGTTACTCAAAATCAAAATTTCCATAATGTACACAGTGCCCAACAAAACTTTGGGGATACTGTCTTTTTGATTCTTTGCTACTTTTCAGTTAAGTAAGAAGAAGACACCTGCATTCACCTGCATCACTGCTTGTGACTGTTATTTATTAATACTTGAGACACTCAGCTCCTTGATCATCAAAGTGTCTTCTTTAGTGTAAAGAGTAGGTTTTCTCTTCCAAACTACTGTTAAATGCCCAGCTTGAAATATCTCCCCCCGAAAGTTCAAGTGCCGATGAGTGCTGACATCACAACAGGACGAAACGAGAGGTTGGGGCTTTATAACCTTCGCGAGTTGTTCAAGTTTTGCAGTTTCACAAAGAAAAATGGCAAGATTTTCTGTTTTCACAAACTAACAAATGGAACATACTCATTTATTAAAAATCGTTTTGAAAAGCTACATGTCCCATATTTTTAAAATGCAGTATATATTTTTATGCTGTCCATTTCATTAAAAGAAGTCAAAGCAGCAGTCAATCAACATCAGAGGATGTCTAGAATGTATAAAACAACACAGACTCGCCACACAGGACACACAGCACAGAGACTTGACTCACCTGAGGGGCTTGCGGTCAATGCACACCTTCTCATAGATGTCTTTAAGAAACTGAGGAGAGCTCTCCTGCACAACGTGGTGGATACGCAGCCGAGCCTTCAGGTACTCCAGGAAGCGCTTCATGAATCCTACAAAGTGCTCTGCAGTGCGGATGCTGCCAGGAACAGCCTCTACAGTGAAGGGACCCGGTATAAAAGGAACATCATTTTTATGTTTATGTACTATGGTAGAAATGTTGCTTCTTAAACACTTCAGTTAATAACGGATTTTATAAAGATGCAACAGACCTTGGAGAATTTCATCTGGCAGCACTGGATTGGACAAGTAGATGTCAGTTTCTCGGGCAACATTGGCTTCTTTCAGTCCCTCCACTAGTCTTCTGTACTCCTCTCGGAGTTTAGCAGCATCAGTTTCCTTTATCCTTTAACAGAAGAATGAAGCCGCAGTTTATACATTTAAAAATGACTTTAAGAGTGTACATAAATTATTTATGAAGTACCAAATAACACAATTATATAACAATATTCCTCACTATGGCAAAGGAATTAAAATACATACACGTTTTACCTTGTAACTTTAAATAAAACTGCTCTAGACTAGTTTTTTTTATCATGGAAAACAGGAAAATAGGGGGTCATTAGGGGCTGTATTTTTTGATGACCCTCTGTGAGCAACTGGCATCATGTACGTCATGGAATTGTCCTAGATTTTGTCCTGCAAAATAATTTACTAGAACGACATGAAAAAGCACTCCTCACCTCTGAATGGTATTCTGAAGGGTTTCCACATTGGTCTGGCAACGGTCCAGTGTCCTCCTGGTGATGTTAACACTCATTGAGTCAATGCACACATTGTCTGGGCATAAAAAGAAAAAAATGAAAATAAAAACCACACGTTATTATCAATGCCACTTTTGAACCGATCAGGTGAGACAGAGCTGTTATTCAGATGAATCTTACCAATGTTGTGAGCTTCGTCAAATACAACAACAGATTTCTTTGCAAGCTCTTTTGAAACCAGGTCTGCGATTTTTGGGTCCAGGAGGTAATGATAACTGTAAACCACTATATTGGCATGAAGAATCTGAGGAAAAAAGTTGAAGGAGAGCGAGAATCAATAGGTTTTGTGTCTGCTGACATTCTTCAGTGCATTCAAACAGACAACTAGGCCTACAAATAATTTAAATAACACAATACTCTTTGGTAAAAATCTTTTTTTATGAAATACATACGGCGTAGCGCGCTAAGTAGTACGGGCACCAGCCTTTCTTACGCCCAAAGTCTTTAAGGTCATCTAGGTTGTAAATGCCAGAAGGAATGGGCACCTGCCTTCCCACTGCATCAAACTCCTGCACAGAGAGAAATAATAAGGAACAAAATCTTCTAAATAGATTGAAATTCTATTTGCGAGTAAAATCAGATGATAAAAGTCAACATCAGTAAATAAACAGCATATCAAACTGATTTTAAAATACTCAAATGCTAAACAAAAGCAACAGCACCCTTAATTTCAAAACACTACATCCTCTGTTTGCTACTGCCATTTACCTCATAGAAGCGGCAGACTGACTGGCTTGGGTTAGTGTGACGCTGGGCTCGAATGTATGATGCTGTCAGACTGTGACATTTTCCATCCACCTCTTTACCAAACCGCAGAGAGCTCACCTGTAAACAAGGCATTCAGGATCAGTCTGGACTAAATAACAATGTTAATGAGAAACTCTTCAATGAAAATCCACTTTAGGATTTGGCTTAAAACAGCCGTAAGTCTTAAAGACTGTCGGCTGTTTTAAATGTAACAACACTTTTAAATGACACTCACTTCAGGGTGAATGCACAGATTCTTTCTTGAAGACAGTGCTAGTGCAAGGAAGTTGTTTTTCTCCCCTGTTTCCTTGGTGTAAAATTCCATTAATTTCCTCAGTTCCTCTATCACCTGTAAAACAGAAAAATACAAAGCCACCAAACAGCCTTGAAGAAACAGGCAGACCGCATAGTCCGTCTGCAACTTACCTTCTCGATCTCAGGCACAGTACGAGAACAGTAGATCAACTTGGTCACCTCAAGAGGGTAGGCCTGCACAGAGTGGAAACCCAAAGAAAGATTTTTGCCACTTTGCACATTTCCAGACAAACTACTACTACTATTGCTGCCACTACTACTACTACAACAACACCACAGCTCCTCACCTTCTGATAAGCAACGATCAGGGACAGAAGCGAGATGGTCTTTCCGGTCCCTGAGGGCATCTCCAGAACTCCATGACCCTGAGGACAGAGAGTGTAACAGGTAAATTGTGTATTACGTATGGAAGAGGTGGGTTCAGTAACCTGAACCTATTCTCAAGAATTGTTATTTCTGTGAAATAATGAATGTAAAATCAGTTAACTAAAAAACAAGTAAAGAAAAAAATTAAAAGTAGCAGGTCAAAAATAACATGAGTAGGTGCACAAAAGTAGTTTAAAAAGTAGAAAAAGAAACTACAGAGCTCTTTGTGAAACGGCAGTGGAACGTATTAGAACATCCAACATCTATCAGCACAGAAAATTAAGTTTAGCACTATTATTTTATTTTTCGGTCTAAAATAAAATAATAAACCTCAAAAGTTAGACGTGTGATTAATAACAAAGCAGCATAGATGCTGTCACCAGCATAAAGGAATTAGCAACTAAAGTTTAATGATTAAAATGTGATTGAGGTAAAAGTAGAACACTTTCTTCACAAACATACTCGAGTGTAAGCAAAAAAACTATGAAATGAACATACTCAGGGTAGTGCAAACCCCTAAAACTGTTCTGAGTACATGTAACTGAGTACATGCAAATAGCTGTAAATCACCCACTTGTAACGACAACATGATGCATTAGACTCACCTTTGCGTCCAGAGTCCTCTTGAGCTCGAGCATGTAGGAGTACTGCTCTGGATAAATGTAGTCATATGGGAAATAGACTAACAACCCTTCGATGTTCAGCCTGGTGGACAAAGCAATATCAAAATGCGACGACAGTTAATGCACAGCAGACATACATGATTCTCGGTTTAATGTGATAACGTTAGCTGCAGGCACTGAGGGGCTTCTCTCTGCAGCACAGACAACAATGCTAACGTTGGAGTCACTCACTTCATCTTTGCTGGTGGCGGGACGCTGTGGCGCTGTGCCACCTCCTTTAACGTGTAAGCTACAACTCGGCAGCGGCTCGACACAATATTAAAACACTGTCAAGAGGATAACTTTTAAATAACTCAGATACATGTAAACTAACATAACGCTGTCTAAAGACACACCGTCGCGTCTAAAAAGCGTGTACTCCACTTCGCGACTAGGATTGGCTGAGCCGCTGTAGACGTTTCTTGAGCAGTGCTCTGATTGGACGATCTATTTGTCCATCAAAAATTCTACCGCAGTAAAACCCTCCTACCGACTGAGCCAGCCCGAGCTGTGGATCGGAGAATATAAAATAAAAGTCGGTAGTTCAACACCAACTTTTTGGTTTTCTCTCACATCAGTCCTCTTATGAGTGTATTCCGTAAAATGACTGTTTTACATTTTGTCTTTTATGCTATTTAAATAAAAGAAAAATGCATGGGCATGATTTTATTATTATTTTAAAGGCATAATATATATTTTCTCTTTAATGAGAGGGAAACAGTCTTCTTGGCTGTTATATTTGTACAGGCTTTTGTACAGACTTTCCTTCCTTGCTGAGCTATTTATGGGATTGGGAGGTGAAACACAGTATTATTGGTTAATATTATTTTCCCTGCCCGCTGGTGCATGGTGACGTAATCAAAAACTCAGAGCTCACACCTTTTAGAAGTAAGTCATCTCATTTTAAAGGAAGATTGCTGAAAAAATGTCTTTTAAATGTTTAATTGTTAAGCATGATGAATCATCCTTCACCATTAATCATGCTTAAAGGGGAATTCCACAGATCTTTCAGAATATCTGCATATCAGTGCTCGAGATGTAAACAAAGTCATTCAGACTGTTTTGGCGTGAAATGGTACATTATAGAGGAACTTGCAAACTCATGCAAATATAGCCATTTCATTTACTAAAACCACCAGTGAACCTACCCGTCCTCTGAGTTTTTATATTATTTAATGTTGAAATTGCTAAAATGGTAGTAAATCTGGAAAAATATGTTTTCTTTTGGGGACTATGTTGCCTAATATTACTCTACATGTCCCACTCCACCATGAATGTCTTTTAAAAGATACATTTCAGGCCAAAACCTTACCTCATAAATGCTGTAAGACTATGTCATAGGTATCAGGCAGGATATTCTTAGCCATTTCATGTAATAACTTTATGTGTGGGGGTTTTAGAGACATTAAATATTTCAAACATCTGGTTCCTTTCACCACCACTGTGAACAATTATGACTCATTTCTCTAGAACGGAGCATTTCACGTCAAACCACCGGGTGACTTTGTTTATGTCCTAATGATTTAATTATGTAGGAATTGCCCTTTAAAATGACCAGGAATATAAACAAAAAATGGTCAGTTTTGATTAGTTGACTCCACATAACACACTAGAATCAAAATCACTATATTAGTCAGGTACTCTTGCATGTATGAGGAAGTTGTATACTGTCTTTAAAATACAGAATACAAACAGTAAACAAATAATACAAATAAATACAATACACACAGTGTCCTGAACCAGTTACTGGAGGGTGTTCTCTGAAATAGGTGATGACTAGGGTGAGAAGGATCTGCAGTGATCTTCCCCACTTGCTCCTTTATCCGTTTACACAGGTCTTAGACGGACAACAGGTTACACCTGATGATCTTTTCAGATGAGTGGATAATGCGCTGCAGCTTGCCCTTGGACTGAGCAGATTGAGTGCCAAACCAGACAGTTATAGATAAGGACACAGCGGGTTTGATGATAATAAAGTCTGGGTATCGTAATCATTACAGACCAAAAAAGCAACAGAGGTTTATAACATTTTATTTACATAATCATTTTAAATCCATATCTCACATTATAATACATATCAGTGATGGAATTTATGGTTGTGATAATAATAATACCCCAAGATAAAAATGGGCCTCCCATAATAATGAGCTTTACTTTTGAATTTGTAGGTAACTTATTAATAGTGATCAAGATCTAGTTTCAACCATATATTGTGCTGAAAGTAACAAGCAAGCTGTCTGAATTTCACTTCTATGGATTTGGCTGGTTTTTGCTAGTGTACTCAAAATGACAACCTATATAAGGCAGCCAAAATCTCAGTCCCTTTACCTTCAATATGTTGTTTGTATTTTGAGTGTAATAAAGTACAAAACAAAGAATACATTAAATCTCTTAAATATTCTGCATTTCCAGTTCACATGGCCTGTAATACAGAAACAGATGTAGTTATAACTCTCATTTGTTCACTATCAATGAGTCATAATCTCTTGATTCATTGAAAAGAGAAACCATCTGTTTGCAAATGAGTTAGCTGGTGATGACGAGATCGCTGTTTCACCTCCTCTGAAATGTAAAGATTGTTCAAACCAGTTTTTACAGTGTCTCTGGAGAACTAGCACTCGACAAGTGCAAGGTCATGCAATGATGACCTCATTATATTTTCTAAGCAAAGCTCCAGTCCTGTAAGACCTCAGTCCAGCACAATTTGGTGGACTAAAGCCCATGTGTACATAGGCAACCTATGTAAATATGTCAAAATCTCAGTTCCTTTACCTCCAATATGCTGTTTGTATTTTATGTGTAATAAAGGACAAAACAAACAAACATAAAATCGAATCTCCAGTTCAGAGGTGTTGTAATACAGGAACAGATGCAGTCATAATTAATCTTTGTTTATGACCAATGACATGTCATAATCTCTGTGGTTCACTGAAACCATCTGTTTAAAAATGAGTCCACTTGCAGGGAAACTCCAGCCTTTATGGACCCCAGCCCTTCCGGACTGGAATTAAACACCTCTGGACATCCCTGGTCTAATAGCATTTTGCTGACTCACAGCTCACACCTCTCCTCCACGCTCTTGTAACGGTCCATGATCCTGAGAACGTCCTCCAGGATGGACGGTCCAAGGTCCAGGTCTAGGCCTGCAAGGGACTCAGAGCGGGACATGCTCGGAGAGAGTGCAGGCGATTCGCTGCGGTCACTTCGCAGGTCCTCGTTGCTCAGGCCGGCGTCAGAGTCCAGGCTCAGACCTCTGCTCGGGTCCAGCGGCCCGCAGCCCTCAGACATGGAGTCGTCTGAAGAGGCCTCAGAAAAAGAGCCATTGGATGGAACCAGGTGTCTGAGGATAGGGATAGAAGCTGAAAGAGCGAGGTCATTACAGGGTTCCCTGCAGCGGCCCATCACTTCCTCACATACGGACATGGAGCGCTGCTGATGATTGTGGTGGTTCTTGTGCTGCTCCTGCTGGTTGTGGTGGTTCATCTGCTGCTCCTGCTGGTTGTGGTGGTTCATCTGCTGCTCTTGCTGGTTGTGGTGGTTCTTCTGCTGCTCTTGCTGGTTGTGGTGGTTCTTCTGCTGCTCCTGCTGGTTGTGATGGTTCTGCTGCTCATGGGAGGAGTTCTCCTCTAAATGTAGACGAGGAGGTTTAGGAGGAGGCTGTTCAGGGGCAATGAAGACAGGCATTGAGATGGTGCTTTTGAGATGAGAAGTGTGATGGGAATTCCGATGGGTGTCATATGTGTGGTTTAGGCCTTTGGGGCTCACATCGAACACGTCGTCTAGGTGCCTGTCCATGCTGTTTGAGCGGTGGTGGGGTGGTCTGGCTAGAGGAGGCAACATATCCAGTTTGCCTTGCAGGAAGCCAACATCTCCAAACATGTCACCCTCACCCTCTGGACCAACGTGGGCGCTGTGGCGCACGTCCCCCAGTGGAGGGCTAATCATATCCCCAGACAGAACATCCCTCAGTTTTAACTTCTTGCCCCGCTTGGGTGTTGATGTCTTTAAGTACATGGGCGTCTTGGCTGGCATTCTGTTTCCCAGAATTCAGAGAGGAACACCAACTTCTGCTTTGATGATGTAGCTGTTAGGTCAAGGAGTTAGCATGAGTTGTTTTTTTGTCCAGGCATTGGTCAATTGTTACTTGGTCCTCTTTTGCCACACAAAACACTGATAGGTATATGGAATGCTAAAGTTTTTGTCTGTTCCTTTTGGTCCAACGTCCAATAAAATGCCCTTTTCGGTCCAATATCAAACGTTATACCACCACAGTTACAGCTCACAATGATGACGCAATGAAAATAATGACCATCAGCATTCTTTTGTAGAAAAAAGAGGCAGATGTTCCAATTCTTTGTTGTTCTTTGGTATTTTTGGCTGCTTGCTTGCACTTGAATCTTCTGGCTGCCTCTTGGTCTGCAGCTCCCTGGAGATCAGGAGCTCCTCAGCAGCTCATGAAATGTGTCGTCAGAATGCTACTGCCTGAGTCTGTAGAAAGAAAAAAATAGATTTACAACCAGGAAAAATTAGGCTGGGAAAGCAGAACTGAAAAAAATCACATAATAAAAGTGCATCTACTGAGAAATCAACTTGAAAGTGTAGAAAAAACAACCCTTTTCAGATTTTTACAATGGGTTACTGGCCCCAAATCATATGTCTGCAAACATTTCATGCATTCCTAAGAGTGTTGTTGCCATTTGTTTGGTTTTTGAAAGGGGTGGCACCAAAGACCTTGCTTGCGTAAATTATTATTTTTTTTTTTTATGTGCGTGCTCTGAACCCACCCTATGAGCACGTAGACTGGTCATCAGAAGAGTTTGTGGAAACATTAAGGAAGAGAGGGATGCAGTTGCAATATTTCATTTTTGGCCTTAGCTGACAGAGACTTATTAATGTCCTTTTCCTGTTCCAGAAAGACAGGACATTCTGATACAGCTAGATAAAAAAAATGCAGAACCATTTAAAGAAATAAGAACAAGTCTCCTAAACCTGCCTTTATTTAACTATTACCTTTGTACAATCATTCTAATCTATGGATGGCTCACAAATGTAAACAACAGAAAAGACTGCACTTAATTACAGGCTATACAAACAGAATATCCACTAATTAACTACACACACATATATTTTCAGTGCCACTTGGATTGATTATAACATAGATTTTCAGTCTGGCAAAGAACTGGGGAACGCATAAATGGAATAACAACAAAAAACTCTAGTACATGAGATCTATTTTAGGCAATACAGCCAGCTCAGTTGGTAATTATGTGGTAATTATATTACCATCAGGGAAAATGCTGATATTGCTGATCGTGATAATTCTGCAGAAGATAATCGTTTGTCCAAATTTACATCATCGTCCAAGCTTACACCCAGATTATTCTCCAACTACTGGTCCAAAACTCACAGATGTTTTCTGTACAATGCAGACATATGCTGTTGGCCATCATCTCCCACACCACCTTTCATACTTCACCGAACAGATGCCATCCATTTGGTCCTTGATGTGTTACTTCATATTAGTTTGTAAGCTATGCTTGCAGATCGGTCACAAACGGGGCATTTAGTCTTTTTAGGCTATAAAGTGTCAGGTCCACACTCAACAGAGCTCAAAAAAAATTGGAATGAAGACTGAGTTACTGTAGTGTTGCTATTGCAGTGTAGACACAGTGGTGGCACAGCCAGACTGATAAACTAGACCATTATAGTAACCCTCTTTAACTGGAGCCTCGTTTGGCTGTGGAAAAGCAGCCTGCTGCTGGTAGAGAAGCAGGAGGCCAATTTGTGGCCACCAAGAAGGCCAGACACACCCCAAGGTTGTTGCTAAACTGAATCTTGTTTTAAAATGCTCTTGTCTCTGGCAAGAGAACAAAGGCTACTTTTTATCTCTCTGTTTCTCTCTGGAAACCATATGTTTTTGCAATCTGAGTGTTCACGATCTGTTAATGTGATGTACTCACCTAAGGCAACCCTGGAAAAATGTTTCAGGATTTAATTTTACAATTAAAATGAAAATTTTATGAACTAAGTAAACCACTTACATCCAAACACGGACAAAGTAGGTTGGAAAAAGAATCACAAGCTACATCCAGTACTGCGTAAAAATCTTAGGCCAAAAAAAATATGTAAAGATATTTATCTGGACAGTAAGCATAGATTTGTTAGAAAAAAACTAAAGTTAAAATAAATACAAGTAAACAACCTTTTGTGATTTGATGTGTCAGTGTGTGAGTTTAACTATTTCTAAAGCTCTCCTCTAGGAAGCCCAGTATTGCCAAATACCATCCAGTCTGGCTAGTCAATCCTTTAGTTTAACAAACCTATACAGTGGCTGGAGTGCATTGACTGAAAAGTCAGGAACCAAAGTTGTGTTTTTCTAACTGTATTCTTCTATCCAACTTTAAAAACAACTTTACTTTTTACTGGATTTCTGTTTATTTGCCTTTATTCTAATGTTATTCTGTTTTTACAGAAAAAAAAAACACAATGGTGTTGATTTTGCTCGATACTGTATGTGCTATTGAACTGAGGTCTGAAAGGGGGCTCTGCGTTTAAATTGGGTTTTGAGAAGGATTTGACTGCAGGCTGACCTTCAGGACATGCCCTGGTCCAGCCCGTTCCCTCTCTCTCACTCACACGGGCCTTATGTAATCACTAAACACAGTTAGTCCCGGAGATCATCCAATTCCCGGATTTCCCCAGTTAGGCACTAGGTGCCATCGCTTAGAACTGAGAAACCCCACACCCAGCCTGGGCTCTCTCACCATCACATCAGTCAGACCTCGGGGATTCTTCTCATAGCAAGTCTGTACACACACGCTGAAGCAGTTTCTCTCTCTATTTAGCCATCAGAGTAAGTTAGTCCATTTTTTCTCACGCACACAGAGCGTCATATTCAATTCACTAGGGTAACTGATGAAGGTTAATGATCTACAATTAAAGTACATAGCGACACATTTTATTACGATTTAAAGAAAAAAAGTGGGCTAACGTTACATCTGACAGTCATTTTACTGAAGACAGCAACGTTTTAATAATCTGATCTAATAGCAAACCGTTACTGGCATTAGCACAGCCTTTACTCCACTTCAGACAATCCCTATTAAGTCTTAAACGCCAAAGTTTAGTAAAGCAGGTACTTGCCCTTTGTTGAACGGTGTTGTTTCAGTCGTTAAGCGCTCAGCGGGGCAGGTAAACCGCTCCTGTGCTCAACAGGGCAGGTAAACCGCTTACTGCCCTGAGACCTGAGGAGAGGAGAGAGAACAGCGCGAGAAAGGAGAAGTAAAGCCTGGAGGCTGAGAGAGTCATTATTTTTTTTTCCCACCCGTACTCCGACAAGCCCCGCCTCCCTCACCGTGGTTAGTAGTTCATTCTCACCAGAGCCGTATATATACCTCTATACGGCTCTGATTCTCACAAGCCGTTCTCCGTCTGATATTTGCATATTGCGCTAGGATTGGCTAGTGCTACCCGCCTCTTGCGCTGCGATTGGCTAGCACTTCATATTCGCCAACCGGTCGGTCCCCCTCGTCCCGTAAAGCGGCGAAACGGTCACGTGACCAAGTGCGTTCGGGTGATCATGAATTCCACAATTAAAACATGGAAGCGTTCATAAATAAATGCTTTAATACATCGCTGATTATTTATTATTAATATAAGCCTACTGTATTCACACATATTTGTTTGTTTCTTTAAGGATAGACTTTATGAGTTTGGAATTAATTTGATACTTTAATATATTGTGTTGTTTTATTTACAATAATAACTTGTTTTTTAAAATATAAAATGTGATTTTTAAAATTTTATTTACTAGACTCAGAAAGGTATTTTATATGTTTTATTCAACATTTCAAGGGTTTGAGGATTATTATATGCTTATCTATTTACAATATTAACATATTTTATTTGTATTTACCTCAAGATTTGATCACCACTTTTTAAATATGAGCTATTCTGGATGTTAGTTTGATCATAAGTCTACTGTTTTCTCAGTCATATCAGTCACAGCTCTGTAGATCATTTTGGGCACATCTAAATCTGCAGCTGTTTAAAGCTTCATAGATTTCTTCTAATTTTCTAATTTCAAAGCTATAACATTGCACAGGAAGAGCATACTGAAATAATTTTGCACACTGGTCTGAAACCAAATTGGTTTTATGTTGCTTCCAAACATTTGACCAGTATATTGAGGGATGTAGACATGATGCTAGATTCATTTGTTAACATGGCCCTCTGCAGCTTTATATACATAGGCTGGAATGTGAAGAAGCAGGAACCGTAAGATTTCCACTTAAAACATTTTGGCAGCGTTGTTTGTTGTTGTTAGCAGTGTGCAAAAGAGAAATAGCCTACACACATATTAACTGTTAAAACTATTATTTGCACACATATAATAGAGAAATGTAGAGAAGTGTACTATATGGATACAAACAGCCTTAATATTTCAGTACCTTACCTTTCCTGTGTTTGAATTAGAGGTGAACGTATCAGTTTTTACGACCCTGGCATTTCTTTCTATGAATCTATCCTCTTGTCATGAAAATATCAATACAGATAAACCAGTTTATTTGGCAGTTTATGTTGTTCTACATGATAAACATGATAAACTAAAAGAAATCTTTACAAAAAGACCTTTGAAGCTGTGCCGTGATTCTGTAATCAGCATCATGCCCATATTAGGAATTCTGGGTCTAAGTGGATTTCTCCATGGGGAAAAAAATGGCATTTTCAAAAATCGGTGCTATGGTGTCCTGTGGTAAACAAAAATGTGCCAGAACCAATACGTTTTGCCTTATGTACACTTTTCCTCTGAATGTCACTGGATCCTCTGAATTATGAGGTTGTTAAGTCAAGTCAAAATATGCAACACTGCAAGCTAACACTGCTGTGCATTAATTTGACATTATAAGAGTGGCAACCTCACCAATATATCCCACACAAACAAGCAAGCTTAGTCAAATGTGGTGGCTTAGTTGCTCGGACAGCAGTAGCCTCTGTTTTGAGTGACTGGTGTTATTACATAAGTTTAATAATCATTTTACTTTCATGCAACATCATCTCAGCTGTTCAGGAGTGTTAGCTTATTTGTAGCATGGATGTAACATTATTCATATTTTAACAACTAAATAACCTCATAATACAGTGGATCAAAGGGAAAATATACACAGAACAAATTGTATCCCGTTTGGAACATGTATGTTTAATACATTTTTGATGTATGTGCAGCTATACAATCTGGGCTTTGTCTTTCTCTCTGTGTCTCTTGTGCAGATTCATCAATAAAAGGCATCAGTATAGAGCTGCCCTTAGCTAGTCTATCTGTTAATGCTGTACAATGTATTGTTTGGTAATCAGCATCGCAGTCTTGGGCTTTGTAATTCTAATACTGCAGAAGGAGCCTCTTACAAAGCACTGTTTTTTGCACTGTGTCATAACATGTTGACCAACCTCTGACGTTCTAGATGAGTGTTTCTGTGGATGTTTTGATAAACTATGACATTCACATAATAAGTTTGCCCACAATAACACAGGCTAATCTTTAATCATGTTACATTTAGGGATCACCCGTGTGTTTTAAATTTATCACAAAGCATCATACTTTTTCCAAATGTAGCAGTATAATCACAATATGGTATTTTGTCCACAGCAAGCAGTACTACTCCCTAGTGTACGTGCGCAATGAATCCTGAGGGTAATTAATATAATTTCAGACTGCTGAGCAGTAGCACGGCAAGTGCTTGCTTGTTTGTTTTTCCCTTGTTCAGCATTGTTTTAATTCTCATTTGGCAGACCACCGTACTCTGCTGTAGGTCTTTCCACTGAATATATATCTCAAAGTGATGCTTTTTACTACAAGCCCATAACACATTATAGGCATTACAGCTAGACTTTTAATATGAAATACAGACAAAAAGGTTTATTTATGTAAAAAAGAAATCTGTGGCAGCCGAAGCCATGGATATTGTCATTCCAATTTGGGACAATAAAAACCTCTTGTGGTAAATTACAAGAAATTACAAAGACGAGAAAGCGCAGACGTGTGTGCTTTAGAGCCGCAGCACACACAGCCACTGACAGGCCGTTTCAGTCCCCAAGCAATTGTGCTTTTTCTAAATTAGAAACATTTGTTTCACACGCAGCTCTTGCAGAAATTTTGCCAGGGGATTAACTTCAGGCACAAAATGAGCATAAACAGCATCAACAAGTTACAGAACAGGCCTGAATCCAGGCTACTGGGTGTAAAGATCATCTCAAAAGTTGGGTTACCATGAATATTCAAATAAGCTCTTTGCATTTGAGAATGTTACTTGACACCAGCTTCAAAATATCAGCCCCAAAATATTAGCCCACAACCTTATCTCAAAACTATTGGGCAACATATTAATAAGCATTTCACGTAATAATTTTCTAAGGGTGAGCTTTTAGAGGCATTACACGCTTCAGTCGTCTGATTCCCATCACGACCAGTATGAATAATCCTTACTCTGTAAGTTTCTCTGAAAAGGAGTATCTCACATCAAACCACTCTGAATCACAGAGTTCCCCTCTAAGGTGTCGTAGCTACTCATGAGCATAAAATTGCACAAGTGGTGATACATGGGGTCCAAAAAAGGGCTCCACTGCCGGTCGTTACACTACACTATTGGTAAACCATTCCAGATTCAATACAGTATAACATTACGGCCAATAAACAAAATATTCTTCATAGTATTCAAGACAAAGACTCTCTCCCAGTAGCCTTTTGTGACAACGATTAAAGCTGAAGGCCTTCTGAGGGTCTCCATTTCCTGCTCTGATAGAATCTGCAGGTCAGATCTAAAAGTCAGGGGTCCCAGAGTGGGTTCAGCTGCTGGTCGGCTCTGACGCAACACAACAGCTCATTGCACGAGACCCTTCACTGGTCAGCCAACACCCCTCCCTGTAGAATAATGCCATACCGTAAATCCCACAAAAAGCCATTGTAGATTTGCCTGTGTGGACATGCTTTGGGCACAGAACGCTCAACTGGAGAAACTAAGGAGGACAACTGACCATGCAGAAAGAGAGTGACCTCACCAGGAGGAATTCTGGGAATCTGTGGGATGTGAGCATGTGGTTCACATTAGGCCTGGGGTTCTGTTTTTGTGGAGCTTTACCCACAAAGCTGAGACGCTGCATGCCTGGAGGATGCCACACTGGCCAGAGGTGGAAAATCAAGGCTGTAAATTCATTTTTTGGCTCGCCATTAACACCCACAGTGATCACACAGTCATGACTCCCTGCTGAAGCATAGCATCCTTTCGCTTTCCTCTATCCAGATGCTTTAAGTCCCTTGTGTAAAAGGGAACTGATTATTCATGCATTCATACATGTAGTTTGAGACAATATGCTTAAGTATGTTTAATCACATTTGCTCCACCATAAAGATTACTCCAATGTCTTTCAAGACATAGAATGTTTATTCAGCAATGTTTATTCAGAAATAGTTGTGAAGTTTATGACCTCCAAGTTGGAAAAATCCATTTGAACATCCTGCACTCAAGCTAATTCCCATTCATAAATTCTGAGTTTCTCAAGAGCTCTGACTTTCCCAAGTTGCTAATCTCTGATGTCATTTCAACACACTGACGCTCATAGAACAATAAGTCATAGCTTGTTGTAAGTGTATTGAACAGACTGTTTAGTTTCTGTTTGTGTATGACAAGATATTTATGTATGATGTCAATAAATGCAGAGAGATACTTGAATAATTGTAAGTTTAAGCTTCTGTGTGCAAGATTTCTTATCAATCTGTGTGCCTTTGTCTCATTTCTCAGCACCACATTAATAGTGAATTGCCATAGCTTTCATCCAATTTTAAAGTGTATTAAGCACTAAGCAGACAGCTCTTTAATCCAAATGTAAACTTTTTATACACACTCACACCAGCCAAACAAGTTTGAGTGTCTATTATTTTTTGACCTCAAACAGTTAAATTGCATGAACGCTTTTGAGAGAGAAGTACTCTGATAGACAAACCAACATAAACAGTCACCAGCAAAAACAGCATTTGTTGTGTTTTGGATGCTGGTATGCTGGTCAACCAGCAAGATCATGATGGGTGACCAGCTAAACCCAGTAATAAACCAGCATAAACCCTGTTTTTCAGCAGGGTAGAACCAAAATCATATTATTCATTTCAAATTGTTTTTTTCCATGCATGGAAACAATCACACTGTTAGGATAGTTCAGATGTAATTTTTTGTCATATAACTGAGACATAAGCATGGTGGCAAATTCATCATTGTTTCCAGCCTGCATAGTTTCAATCAGCTACAGCATAATCTAGAGTAAACTGTGAACTTCATGTAGAGATTCTAAACAA